TTTTGTGTAAGTGTTATGAGCCGATACCGTAACATAGTCTTTCCGTAGCATAAACCTTTTCCAAATAAATATCGGCCATTTACATTTCTTCAATTCATCACAAATACTTTATTTACATGCTTTAAATGTGTATCGATTGCGGGAAATGTATCCCAGAGAGCATTATTTCAGGGCAGGATGAGTTCCTTTTAGGGATGAACAGTCCAGAGTAGCACTTAGCTTACGTTGGCCTAGGCCTTGTACTAGCACCATTCGTTTAGTCCCCGGTTTTAGTCTCTTCATGTTCTAGGCCGAAACGAGGAAACACAAATGTCATTGTCCAATATAAACAATGTAAGACATGTATGAATATACCAATTTACAAATTTAGGTCCGCTGGAAAATCCATTTGCTATAAAAGGCGTGAAATATTGCGTAACTATGTATATATTTTCAACATCGTTAGACCCGGAATTTACGTTGTGGATAGATCGATTCATATCAATTCATTCACCATGTCCTCCACAATTGAAACATTACTAATATAATTGGTCTAGGCCTGATAACTCAACTGTATGATATGCCTTGTTAAAAATCTAAAAGTCATGGCGTAGGCTAACTATATCTAGGCTCAGCATAAGTCTATACAAGCAAAAGAATTAAACAATGGAATAATTAAGATGATTTGTTTAGTAATATTCATTGTTAACATATCAAATCGAATATTTGGCTCCATAGTTCGTAGACAACAGTCTAGATTTATGCCCCAGTGGAGTCATCTTATCTTACCATTCTGTCGACTACATCAAAACCTTAGCCTCGTATTGCATGCCGTCTCAGTATGATGGTATGATATTAATGACTCACTTAATGACGAAATACTAAAGGTGTGAAAGGACATTTGACTAATTTCAACCAAATAATCATACTTCTAAAAAATGAAATTATACAATAGAATCATCTGGGGAATATCATGTAAATAATTTCAAGTATTATGACCGAAATTTCGTTGACAACGCTTAGAGTACTTGACTAGCCGTGTCGAGTCACACGATGACAGGACCCACAATCATGCATTGCCCGAGCCCATTCTAGTATTATAAATTATAGTACTAGGCCTACGATTTCAAACCAAATTAATTGTTTTCTTATGCAGTAGGCACACTAAATTCATATCAATATGCCCTATGCACGTATAAATATTCAAAATATTCATTTTGAAACTGGATTTGTCTCCGTAAAGGAAATGTAGGTCAGGATGATATAGTGCCTTATATCTATTTATAATATTTAAAGTATAAATCAGTGTACAGTGCTATTCATCTGTATAATAGGCCTACGGATTGTACATTGTTTAGGCCTGCCAATAATAACTTCAATTCATTTTATGAACTCTCTCTTGGTTTGTTTATAGACCGACCTCGCCGATATTTTTAGTTGCAATTTCACTATATTGTGTTGAGTGTGAACATTCATTTTAGAGGGGTGACCATCTTGATTCTGAGTCTAGAGAGTTAAAAGCAGATTTGTGTACTGGTCCAGTACACATATCTGCTTTATAACATGGCATAACATTACAGAAGAATCCCAAGTCAATGCCACAAACGCGTTACAGTATGTATGTTCATATACATTCCGCACCATCAGTGATTTCATAAAGAGGAAGATATGTTGACGTTACTCGATACAGTATATAAGAATCCAATTAAATTGTCAATATTAGTCACGTACGCGGGTTATTGTTGTATATTTTAAAGATGCAATCAATCGTAGCAAAATTCACGATTAACAAGGCATTAGTAATCACACTGTTAAACATCCTACAGTACGGTGTCTTAATAAGGAGGTTCCACATTGATTTCATCATCTTGTTTGTATAATGTGGTTGTATTAGGATAGCTATAGGCCTATGGCCTGATATGAATTGCACTACTTACTGCAACGGCTTCGCCTTCGCGTAATAGCTCTATAGGTTACGTGCAATGCATGCCATGTGCGTCTGAACCGGAAACTTATAGATATTTAGTAGCAAGCAAAATATACAGTAATCAAAACAAAAAAACGGTACAGATAGATGGATAAATGTCTGTCTCT